CGGTATATATTAAACTTTTAATAATTCTGTTTCAAACGTTATTTCCAGTGGATATCTGTGCGTGAAATAGACGCTCCGTTTTTGTTTTGCTTTTACTTTAAACGTATTACGTTTACCGGCCTACGCACTCGGGAAAACTTCATAAAGAGAACCCGGGCCAACAGACGTCAGGCACATTGCTCCTAATGATTAAAAACAAGGGGCTTCTATTTCAAACACGGATAAAAAAATAACGTTTGATGCAATAAATAATGTGGAATTAAAAATAAATAGATTAACGCTTTAGAATGTAAATCCTTATATATATATATATATATATATATATATATATATATATATATATATATAATCCATGGGTATATAATCCAAGTGAATCCAATAATATAAAATATTAAAACTAATCCACAAAAGAGCTCAATGCATTTATTATAACAGATCATATAAATTGAATAGAAAGAAAATTCAAAATTGCCTCATTCGAATAGCTATTTCGGCCAAAATAGCTATTCACATGAGATAATTTTGAATTTAAATTCTATGTAATATATATATATATATATATGTGTGTGTGTGTGTGTGTGTGTGTGCGTGTGTGTGTGTGTGTGTGTGTGTGTATTTAGATTAATTATATTTAAAACCGGGCATTATTTCTTATTTAAACCTTATATTTAGTGTATATTCATGTTTGAATATATATCTGTATTGTTAAACAATGTAGCGTTATGTGCATTCTTAGAGTTTTTATTAAGATAATCTGCCTTCCGGTAGGGTTTGAATCTGTGTTCCCCTTACAGGTGACAACATCGTAAAGCCGCCATGCTTTGAGATACTTCTCACCCAGTTCTTATCATAGAAGAAGAACAAGAAGAACAAGAAGAACAAGAAATAGGAGGAGATACTGAAGAAGACAGTGACGGTGGAGGAGTAGGTGGAAGAAGAACAGACACCAATGAAGAATAAGAAAAAAAATAAGAGGAGATAATCATGATGGACATGAAAGAGGAGGAGTTCCAGGAGGTGGTGTAGGAAGAGGAGGAGAAAGAAGAGGAGAAGCAAGAGAGCAAAACGATGGAAGCAGAAGAAGTGAAGAAGATGAAGAAGTAGGAAAACAATCACGATATGAATTCAATTACCCTATTTAAAAAATGGCGCTTCTTTCTATAAGAAAATTGATATATTTAAAATAATTCATCATAATGTAATAACAATGACATATATATATATATATATATATATATAAATAATATAATTTTATATTATATTCGTAATTTTTCTTATATTCGTTTTTTTCTTGTCAGGACATATTATGTGTACTAACAGTCCGAATGTTCTATATTTTCGAGCGCTTTCAGCTATACTATTAGACATTATCAGGGATGTTTATTTTTCAACTGAATATGTAGTATCTAGAGTGACCCAATGTTTTTTTTTTTTAATTTTCTAAACACGGTCAGCACATTGTGACCGTGTTCATAGTTGATGTTATTGAGATTTGGATTTTCCTTTTATAATAAAACTGATAATCAGTTCCACTATTTTTAGCCTTTTTTAACATGTTGCTGGTATAGTTGTATTCTCTACGAGTATGTTGCGGATAGAGTTTAGTAGGTCTCCGTGTGTATTTAAATGGTTCCTGATTTAGCTAAGGTCAGAGAGATGTAAAGTGGGACTTCTCAATAGGCATGTAGCAATATGTCCAATATAACTATTCATGAATTTGGTGTGATCAGGAAGGCAGTTCCTTTTGATATATGAAATTCATAAATAATATTGGTTCTCTGTAACGCACACAAACACACCCAGGCACACCACTCACACACACACACACACACATATATATATATATATATATATATATATATATATATACATATATATATATATATATATATATATATATATATATATTATATATCCAAGGATCTAAAAAGTGCTCAATACAAAGTAGCGTAGATATAATTTTTTTTAAAAAATTATATATATATATATATATATATATATATATATATATATATATATATATATATATATTACTCCTCCACTGTGTGGCTCCACTTTTGAGGAATCGGAGAGCCGAAGTCGATTTTTCTGTCAATCCGTTACATTCAATTACGTGCTAATACTCTTGGGAAAGGATGATTCCCCTTCTTCTCCCTCTCTCAGTTATGGGTAAATAACAGGACAGACTGGGTTCTATAGCCTTGGATGGCAACTGGTCTAGGACAAAGACAACTCTGAATTCAAAACCTGCGGAGGGTCGTTTTGGGGGACCTTTTTGGCACGTGGTGCATCAGATCTCTGTATTCTGCTCTTCAAAAACTTCACCATTATAATCAAATCATATGTGCAGATTGTCTGGCTGCCGGTTCCTAGGAAATGAGTGGCCTGACCCTCAGACGTCGTAAAACGGTTCTCTAAGTTAACATCAATTTAATCTTAGAGCCACGGGGAGCTGATATATAGCAACTGCAATATATACAGAGTTCATCCTAACAGATTCCAAAATAAGCTTTTTATTCGGTGTCACATTAGAATTATGCTACGTGCCTAAGAAGATTAGCATAGAACAGAGGTCCTCAACCAGGCCAATTAACCTCAAAGAAATTCAGGGTTTGAGCTGGAGAATCTTTTACTTTTTCTTGTTTTTGGGGGTTTTTTTTATCATTTATATACAGAAATTTGTGTTTAGAATAACAATTCGCTGTTTTTTTGTTTATTGAATTACGCTTCTGTGTATTTATCAATATTTCAAATAATTAGTTATGAATTAAAACAAATTATAAATATGTATTCAAGTTTAAAAATTCCATCTGTTGCTATTAGATTAATAAAAAACTTCTTTATAAAACAATCCATATAAATATTATATGCACTACTGCGGAAAAGAACGAAGATTTTAAATAATATATTAATATTATTTGGAATTCACTTTTTGAGTCGGACAATTTTGGAAAGGTGGAAATGGCATTCTGACTTATGATGAAAAGGGTGAATTGGTCAAAAGATTTTCAGAACCACTGGCGTAGGTGTTCTCATAGCCACTATGTACAGAATCGGGCCTTAAAGAATACCAGTGGCTACATCGACATAAACCCTCGGTGAATTTAGGATATACACTCACAAGACGGCAGTAAGTTATAGAAACGCGCGAAGGGAAAAGGTGTGTCCCTCATATTCTCACACACATAAAAAAGATCGAAAGTTCGAAGACATACCCTCGAGGCCAATGTGCAATAAGTGAAAAACAATAATTTTTACGTATGGAAGATTTAAGTCTTATTAATTCCACAGACGTTACAAAAATAAAAGTGGTTGATAAAAAACAAACTGAAATCTTTATACTGTCTTGATATGCCACATTTTACGATGTACTAACAAAAACGGTGTAGGAAAGAACTGACTGTCGTAATAATAATAATCATTCAAAATTGAAACATTCACCAGGATTCGAAAATGGACTATAGGAGGGAGAGAAAGACACACAATCACATACTCACACACACTCACTCTCTTTCATACACACACTCACCCACTCACACTCACTCTCTCTTTCTCTCTCTTCCATAGGCAGAGAGATTTTGACAGTTGATTAGATAGACATAAAAATAAATTAACAGATTTATAGAGAGAAAGAGGTAAGCAGTATTGATGAAGTCAGTTTTTGCGTGGGTTCGAATATAGTCTGAGATAGATAGTTTTATTGTTATTTTAACATACACAAGTATTTAAGTAAGTGCTCTGTTTATAATAAACAGTATTAACAACATTTAACAATCTGAACGTCCGATACATTTCATAGAAAATATGCGTCCTCTGACAGGAATCAAACCTGTGTCCTACATGGAACCGTCTTATAGCCTGACGTGCTATACCAGTTTAGCTATGAAGGAGTGTCTGGTTAGCAAGATCGATTTTACTGCTTTTAAACTACAATCTTCCCATGATCGAGTAAAGTCAACCTTTTATATAGATGCAAAGTAAACTGGTATAACAAAAGGCAATAATTCTCGGTTTGTTACTTTACAGGTTCGATTCCTGTCGGAGGACGCATATTTTCTATGAAATCTATCGGACATTCAGGCCGGTAAATGTTGATAATACTGTTTATTATAAAAAGAAAATTTATTTAAATATATGTGTATACACGAATAACCTATAACAAAAAATAAATTAAAATAATTGTCGGACTTTGTCAATTTCGAAGTGGATAGATAGATAGATAGATAGATAAAGTTGGAGAGATATGAACATAGTGAGATATATAAAGAGATATGTGAATGAACTGACATAGATAAATATATAGAGGAAAATCGATGGATAAATAGAAAGATATGGACAGATTGAGGTAGATAAATAGAGATAGAGAGAAAGAGAGGGAGAAAGAGAAATGGAAGTTGCGTGTAATCAGCTGAGAAAGTACAGTTGGTTAGCGAAGAAACGTTGTAGTGCAGTTAAGGGCTTGGCAAGATGAAGTGAGTGAGAAAAGCTCATGTTAAATTAGGGACAAGGAACCCGAGAAAAGGGTTTTAACTCTGTCGGGGGTTTGCATGCTCTTCGTTGTTGCGAGAGTGAAGACACGAAAGTCCATGACGTAGAACCGATAGAACATGAATTTGACGAAGAAGATGAAGAGGCGAACACAAGTAAAAGGCTGGGGCGGCTTCCCCTCTTCCCCGGGGCAAAAGGACTTGAGATGGACGATAGATTTTTTTTTTTTTTTTGTGTGTGAAGTTATAGATATGATCGTGTTAATTACGATCTGAGTCCTTCTTGCGTTATACGACGACTGGCAGGCACTACAGACGCCATCTGTCGGTCGTTATCAACAGTTACTTATCTCTGGCACTTTAAAAAAGAATTGGAAAGCAGAAGGAATTGCAGATTGAGAATGGGAAAGAGAGGAGTAGGAGTAGGATGAAAGATGAAGGAGTGAAATGAGAGAGAGAGAGAGAGAGAGACATATATGAAAGGGAGAATGATGACTTACGGGAGGTGGGACATTAATGTGCACGGTGATAAATGCAGAAGGACTGGGAAAGAGAAATGCAGAAAATAGGTTTTAAGAAAAGATGAGAAATCAAAGAGAGAGAGAGAGTGGGGGTAAGGAAAAGAGAAGGAAGGCACCAAAAGAAAGAAAGAAAGAAAGAAAGAATATAAAGGAAAAAAGAACTATGATAAATAAAAAAGTAGGAGAAAGTTAAGGCATCTGTAGAAAGAAAGAAAGAAAGAAAGAAAGAAAGAAAGAAAGAAAGAAAAAATACAATATAATAGTAGATAAGTAGATATGTATTTAGATGGGTAAAAAGAAAGAAAGAAAAAGAAAGAAAGAAAGAAAGAAAGAAAGAAAGAAAGAAAGAAAGAAAATAGAAAGCTGGAAAACAATTATACAAAATAAGCATTAAAAAGAAATAAGAAAATAAAGGGCTTAAGAAAGAAAGAAAGAAAGAAAGAAAGAAAGAAAGAAAGAAAGAAAGAAAGAAAGAAAGAAAAAGACGGAGAAAGGAAAATAACTATGACAATTGACAAAGAGAGAAAAAATGACGCCGAGAGAAAGAAAGAAAGAAAGAAAGAAAAAAAAACAAAGAAAAAAGAAAGAAACAAAGAAACAAAAGAAGGAAAAGAGTGTAAAAGAAAAAGAAATAAGATGAATAAAAAAGAGGGATAAAGAAAAGGCATCAGTAGAAAGAAAGAAAGAAAGAAAGAAAGAAAGAAAGAAAGAAAGAGATTGAGAATGGAAAGTTAAATAGAGAACGAAAATAAAATAGCATTTAGCCTACGTAAGTATCTGTGTAGGTAAGTAGAAAGAAAGAAAGAAAGAAAGAAAGAAAGAAAGAAAGAAAGAAAGAAAGAAAGGCAAAAGAGAGTAAGTCGAAACGAGAAAGGAGAAAAGGAAAAATAAGGGACGCGGCGGTTTGGCGGGTTGGCGGGCAGGAGAATGAAAGAAAAATAGGAATGCAAAAGCCAAGATTATGGATCTAGGTACTTTCCACATAAAAGTTTTTCACAACGACAACTTCCTCGATGCGAGATTGATATACACCTCCCTCTCTCTCTCTCTCTCTCTCTATCTCTCTTTCACACGCACATACACACAAACACTCACACACGCACACATAGTTTATGCAAATGCGTGTTCAGATATATATTAAGTTCCCTTTATTATCACCATCTTCATATTTCTAATTCTTTTATTTTTATGTCGGAAACATCGATCGTTATCTTCACAGATTCTAATCAATCTACGTCATTTCGTGTTAATGGTTTTTTTTTTTTTTTTAGTTTTTATTATTCTGCAAAGGAAATATGCGGCTAGGACAGAAAATATTTTGTAGACAAGAAGCCCACACCAACAGAATATTATATTCTGCTATCATCGCTTTCAAAAAAAAAAACAAGAAGAGGATATATATATATATATATATATATATATATATATATATATATATATATATATATTGATGCATGTTTCATTAAATAATATAGACAAATTTTGTCTATTTTAAGTAAGTTCCTTTTATATTGTCTGATAAACTTAATAACATTATCATTGAAAGACGAAAGAAAATCAACATATCAGACAATATGAAAGGAATAAATTGACAAAACTTGTCTATATTATTTAATGAAACATGCATCAATGAAAACTTGCTACCTAAATACACAATATATATATATATATATATATATATATATATATATATATATGTGTGTGTGTGTGTGTGTGTGTGTGTGTGTGTGTGTGTGTGTGTTGAACAATACAAAATATTAAAAATTTTAATTTTCCGACACACTGGGTTGTATATTAGTATTTTTTTCGTTTTATTATTTCAGTTAGATCCCTCGACAAGTTTCGTAGCATGGCCATCATCAAATATGAAAAAAATCTCTGATTGTTAGTAGCAGCGTATTACAGGAATGAATGACTTGATGGAGAAAATGAACTTTATCTGTAGTTTTCATTTGCTTGTTTTTTTTTGGGGGGTGTATATATATATATATATATATGTATGTGTGTGGGGGACAAGTTTAATCATTTTTTTCTGCACATTTAATTGTATACGACAGACAATTTTTTTTTTATTTTTTATATAATTTCTCATGACGATCTAATATATTTTTTTTTTCGGATGATAAATTATATAAAAACTAATCATTTGTTCTTTTAATATCCGAGCGCTTGAAAATGGATAAATGTATAGCCGAAAGCGTTCGGATAAAAGAACAATTGGACAGGTTTTTTTTAAATTTATCATCCGAAAAGAAAAAAAAATTAGATCACATGAAAATTGTATAAAAAACTAAATCAAAGCACCTTTTCTGCCATATTCAATGAAATGTGCTGATATATATATATATATATATATATATATATATATATATATATATATATATATAGATATATATATAGATATATATATATATTTAAGCAAATATATGGATATAGATCCGACAGTATGAAGAAAAATAGATACGGAAAAAAAAAAAATCCTTATATACAATTATGCTGTTTTAATGTTAATATGTCAACGTCGGACGTTTCGCTCTAATAAACCATCTTCAGGACATATTCATAAATTATAACATTATCAATACAACATGACAAAGACGATGTACATAAGAACAAGACTTATCCAAACAGATAACTGAAAGTTTTATAAGATCAGCGCTCCGTTTTAAACATGGTCACGTTGTTTTTTGTTTTTTTTTCCGTATCTATTTTTCTTCATATATATATATATATATATATATATATATATATATATATATATATATATATATATATTTCTATTAATCTCAAAAATATAAAAGTGGAGATTCAAATTTTGAACGACCTGTGATCTTCTTTTGATTCTAAAAATGATTCAACAGAAATGATTACACTGTCGCTCGGTTTTAATCATTTGAGCTTTCTTAGATAATGCATGTACTGCTAGCAATCAATCAATTGATCAACCTTTAGTAAAACTACAAAAAAACAAAGAACTAGAATTGCTTGAGAAATGTGTTTTTGAAGGTTAATGTGGAAATAAAGAAAACAATCGATGGCGGACATTTCTGCTGGAATATTCGTTCCGATGACGAAGGAACGTCTTGATGAAGAAATAAGATTTTTCTTTTTTTTTTTTTTTAGCGAAATTTTCGTATCCGATTTTTACACTCCTGCTTAAAACAAAATTCATGTTGTAAAAAGAACGAATCGAATATCAATTCAAATGTTTACAACATTAATTTAAAATAGGGTTCACTACAGTAGTAGAGCTTTAATTCTTTATTATAAGATATTACATTCGAACATATGTAAAGGGATGTGCCAATGGATCCATTTATCATAGCATCTCATCAGGCTGTGGTTAGTGAAGGTTATTACAGTTTTAATATTTACTTGCAAACAATCTCTTTTCCTGTGAAAAAAGGAGAAAAGAAAATAAGAAAAGCAAGAAAGCATTTGTTTATTTTAGGATATTACATTGAAAACATGTCAAAATTGCTACACAATTGCAGTCGTGTTTCGATGCGTATTAAATGCATCTCATCAGGCGGTTGTAAATTACTGAAGAGTGAACGATTTATTTAGATTTAAAATCAAAATACAACCATTTTTACGAAAAAATTTTTTTAAAAATTGGGTGGCGGTTATAAGTTTTGTGGGCTTTACTCAGATCAACCAATCGAAAATGACCTTCGCTAAATTTAAACTCAGGGTAGACGCAAAATTAAGAAATTATTTTCCGTGAATAGTTGATGACCTGTAAATTGGGAATCAATGGCAGCACAGACGTTAGACAGGAGCGGGTGTTAATGAATACATTTTTTACAAACTAGACAGTGCCATTTCCTAAGAAAAAAAATGAGATGGAGCGGTAATTCAACAAAATATTAAACAAGTTATATGCTTTGTGAATCTCCAACATCTCTACTTTGTATTGAGCCCTCTTTTAAATTAAGTGTGTGAGTGTGTGTGTGCCTGTGTGTGTATAGATAATACCAATTTTTAATTGCAAGGGATAATTCCAAGGACGTCATGATTCCAATGAGAGCTCAATGTAAGTTACAGAGAAATATAATGTTAAATTAAGAAAACACCTTAAAAAACCATATCGGTTATAATTTCTTTCATGAATGTTGTTATATCGATCTCTTCAGACTGAATATTTTTAAAAAAAGAAAAAAAATTTTCATTAAAATATTCGGTCTGAAAAGATGGATATAACAATATTCATTTAAATTTCGGGTCTACCTACCAGTCATATATAATTTTTAAGGTTTTTGTTAAATTATCAATATATATATATATATATATATATATATATATATATATATATATATGACCTGCGAAAACACATTCTACCTACTCACTTGCCTATTCTATTTATTGTTCCGTGACGACTGTGACTGTGTTTCGTTCTTTCTAGAAAGCCTTGAAATTTGTCTCTATTACATGTTTTGTTTTTTTTTTTCTGTTGATTTTTTTAAAATCGGAAACCGGACGAGGCTGTGCCGAAGGGCAGAGTCTCGTCCGGGCAGGTAGACAGACACGAACCCATTTATGCGGGGTTACGGGAATTTTTTGGCCGATCCTACGGGCTCCGATTGTCCCACATTAAATTCAGCCTTGTGCCACATCCAATCTCCTGGGGAGACTAGTAAATATTGCTAACTGGGGGAGTGTTGAGTATGACTCATACTTACGCGAGAACTACCGACCTTCCAATAGTAGCACTCACTACTGGATTGACTTGCGATGACCTTGTGCATAACTATTACCTTTATTCTTATTGTACTGGTTTTATACAATAAACCTTTACTTATTTTATCCACCTTGTTTTTCAAGTGTATATCCTATTAGCACGTAATATAACACAATTTGGTAATTTTATATATTATATTTTGTATATTATTTTATTATAAAAATAGTTAAAAAATATAAAAATAGTTATTCTTGGCAATTTTATATATTTTTTTTATATATTATTTTATTATAAAAGGGTATTCTTGGTATTTTATATAAAAATATATTGATGATAATTTTATTATAAAAAAATGTGTATTTATATAGTTTCACAGTGTTTTGTTTTGTTTTGGGGGTTTACTATTCGGGACCTTAACAGGTGCTACCACCCCGGGGTCAGGTTGGACCTGGGAATAACAACAGCAATTAAGATGTGGCGCCACGCTAATCAAATCCTCCAATTTTCCGATCATAATGCTTGTTGCCGGATGTAGTTTATCGTCATACCCAGGACTACTTAAGTACTATTAGATGGGTGACAGCTTGTGAATTGTGGTGCAATGGACAAAGGCTCGGAAACTGAAATCAGAGAGCCGAGTTCCAATTCTAGACGGGTTCGTTATATTCACTTATATGTAAATACTCTTCGGGGAGGTATGAATTGACCACTTCTCCCCAACTATGGATTAAATAGTAGGACTTTCCTCAGTAAATCATAAATGCTTCAAAAAATATCTTACAATCCAAAATATTTTTTGATTTTAAATAACCTTAAGATGGTGACACGGTGGAGCAATGGATAGCGGCTCGGATTGAGGATTCGGAATTCCAGTCGAATCCGTTACCTTCACGTGCTAATACACTTGGGAAAGATATGAATCCTCTTCTTCTCCTCCACCCCCACCAGCTATGCATGGATGGCAACTCGTCTACCGCAGAAAGAAATGGCAACCTACTACGGGAAAAAATTTGCCTCGTCAGTCATTTATCGAAAGATACATGATCGCTTAAGCGTCTATCACACATTGCACATAACTGATTGGAGATGGATTCATCGTAAAAAAAAAAATGAATAAATCAATCAATAATCGAATTCTTTGCTTGGATCTTCGGGTGTCCGTTTTCCGGACGACGAACCATACCATTCTCTTAAAATTTATAGTTAGTGCTTACATCCTTCAATGATTCATGGAGATTTCTTACAGTTGTTTGTTTTGTCCAGGATTTCTTGTGATTTCTGATATGAGACTGTATCTGAGAAATACTCGTAAACACTAGTTGATACATACTTTGTTAAGTAACGTGACTTGTTGGGCGTTCCGTCGCAACATTACTCCAAGAAGTTTTCAATGGTTTTACGCCAATGAAGGTACTCTCTTTCAGCATCCACAGAATTCGGATCCGTAGTTAGTTTATCTGGGCAGACTATACATTCCATCATTGCGAAAGGGAATTAGTCTAATAAATTGTAATATAGTCACACGAAGTAGAAGCTTATGAAGCTTTATTAGACTAAGCCAGATTTAGCGCTAAAAGATTTTATATTTATTCTAATGAATAGTTACAAGTGAGAGGCGGAGATGGGGTGTGCTTACTTTTATCACATAGTTCACAGACATTTTTTACTAAAAAGATTTGTTTTCATATTTATATATAAAATAATAGCGATTTTTTAAGCGTAGCTTAGATGTGGCACCCATTGAGTATCAACTCACTAATCTGTCGTAAATGACCTCGCGAGACAAACTTGCTAATTATTGCACCACGTCAAAGAGCCACTTTGATTTTCTAAGCGTTGCTTAGATGTGGCACCCAGTGAAGATCAATTCACTAATCTGTCGTAATTGACCTCGGGAGACAAGCTTGGTAACCATTACACCACGTCAAGCGCAATAAAATGTTAAAAATAATAATCATACTTATTATAAAACCCAGGTTGTGTGTTTGTGTGTGTGTGTGTGTGTGTCTGTACGTTTATATATTGGAATGAATTTCCTACATTTTTCAACCGATTCAACAAAACTTCACAGATTTACGTAAAATTACCTTGCGGTGGTTCTGACAGCACCAAAAATTGGAAAAACACAATTGTTTTTGCGCGAAATCAGTTTGAAAACACGATTGAGGGGCATCACTGTCGAATGAAAATTTACAACTCATATCGAGTTATACTTATTATAAAACCCAGGTTGTGTGTGTGTGTGTGTGTGTGTTATGCGTGTGCGTGTGTGTGTGTGTGTGTGTGTGTTCGTTTATTATGGGATCAACCTACATTATTCAACCGATTTAAAAAAAAATATTTCATTTTTTTTGGGCAGGTAGTGTTTTTCTTATTGTCTTGCACACTTTTTTTTTATTTTTTTACATTCAGAATACTTTAAAAATTCCATTTACAAGACAATTGTTTATAATAAAATTCTATTCAATCGATAGACTCATAACGATTGAAAACAAAGTTTTTTTTTTCAGTTTGGGTTTGACCAATTAGTAAAAAAAAAAAAAAAACTAATTAAGACATGCGTGTCCGTCAACCTTAAACAATAATCTTTGACAATTTTATTTTTCAGTCTTTATGATGGT